AAAAAGAAATGTATTAAATGCATAAAAGCAAATATTGAACATACACTAATACCAAAACTATGTTAATCTCCTCTGCAAATTAATTTGAGATCTTATTCATATTGATATTATTGGTCCTATTGAACTGTATACATATAAGAACATATGCTACTTATTAACAATTGTAGACAATTCTACTTGTTAGTGTATAATACTCAAATTACAAACAAAATCTAATACATATACACAATATGTACAATAGACAATCAAAATATTTACACAGCACAGAGTTAAAATAAAGCTTTTACAAAGTGATAACAATACTGTATTCCTTAGTAAAGATTTCCAACAATATTTAGATTTACAAGGAACAAAACAAAGATTAACAGTACATCATACTCTGCAACAGAACAGAATAGTGGAACAAACTCATAAAACTATATTTAGAGGTGTAAGAGCATATCTAACATCTACTAAATTACTGTTTACATTATAGGCTGAAGCAGCAATTCATATTACCTATATTCATAATAGAACACTGTGTGCTACATTAAATTACAATACTCTACATTACAAACGTTACAGAACCTATGGAACAATTGATAATATACATGAATTTGGTCAATATATTATCATTTGTAATGAAAATCCTACAAAAATACAACAGCAAGGTATCATTGCTTGTTGGATAGGATTAGACAATGAAAGTAAAGGCTATAAAACTTGGCACAATAATAAAATCACTATTGAACAAAATATTCAATTTCTCAAAGGTAAACCTCCTCAAATTGAAGGGGAGAAAATAGACAATACAAACAATGATACAAACAAGTGTTTAATAATTAAAAATAATGAAACAGATAATAGAATAATAAGAACAGACAATAATGATACAGACAACACTGATCCTAATAAAAAAGGAAAAGTGGTAGAACCAACAGACTTAACAGACAACAAAGTTAAATTAACTGAAAAAGAAGTAGAACCTAAACTATGTTGATTGGAATGGAAACAGAAACTGACAGAATGTACTATTGAGCTTGAACAATGTATAGAGAATAAATGTGTAACAAAACACATGTATGTACTTAGCAAAAAGGATGAAGATAATATTGCTATTCATTTAACAGAATTTAATGCTAAAATAAGTGAAATACAATCAGATCTGACTTCATTTTATGAAGCAATCCAACGTCCAGATTGTGATTCATAGATTACAGCTATGAAAGACAAAATAAAACAATTAGAAAATCATAATACATGGGAAATCACAAATCCACACAATAATATTAACATTATTGGAACACAATTTGTCTATAAAATAAAGCAATACACTAACAATAGTATAGAAAAATACAAAGCACAATTAGTAGTTCAAGGAAACTATCAGATTGACAGCCTTGACTATCATATGGACGATTTATTTGCTCCTACTGTTAGACTATCTATGGTGCAATCAATATTAGTATGGGTAGCATCTAATAATTATGAAATACATCAGATAGATATAAAATCAGCATATCTGTATGGACAATTGATGGAAGACAAAGAAATATATGTTAAACCTCCTCCAGGTAACTTAATAGACAGATTACAGAATGGACAAATATTACAATTACAAAAAGTACTATATGGATTAAAACAAGCTGGTAGAAGATGGTATAAAACACTATCTAATATACTACTTAAATGCAGATTAATGAAATCCAAACATGATAACACTATATTCTTTGTAAAGAAGAAAGAAATAACTGTAACCATATTATTTGTACATGTCAACAATATTACTATTGTGGTAATGAATAATAATACTATTACAATGATAAAACAATCTATTATACATCATTTACAATATACAGACAGTAGCAAATTACACTGGCTACTTGGTATAGAGATTCAATGTGACAGAGAGTATAGATTCATCAGGATGTGTCAGACACATTATATTAATAGTATAATAGAACCTTACAAACTTACAAACAAACAAAGTGTACAAACACCTATACAGCCTAGTACACAATTAAAAACAGTATTGTAAACTGATAACAATAGAGAACAAATGTCTGATATACTATACATGAACATGGTTAGCACACTTAGATACATTGTAGACTGTACACAGCCAGATATAGCATTTGTAACAAATTAGTTAGCTAAATACCTTAATGACCCTGGTATGGAGCATTATCTGACACTTAAACATTGTTACATGTACTTAAAAACTATGAACAATGTCTGGCTCCAACTCAGTAGCACAAATCAATCAATATTGAACAGATATACAGACACAGACAGTATGATGCAAGAAGGGCATTGTGCAATATCAGGATATACATTTTACTTGAGTGATTCATTAGTTTTGTGGTCAAGTAAAAGACAAACACTGGTGGCAAATTTGACGTATGAAGCTGAATTAATAGCTCTTGCAAGAGGAACACAAGAAGCAATCACACTTACTCATTTAGCTGAAGAGATTCTGCAGGTCTCTGATGCACCAATTAATATCTATTGTAATAACAATGCTGTTATACAAACAGTTACATCAGACAAACTCAAATATTCAGAACGAACAAAGCATTTAGATCATAAGAAAGATTTTATTAAATGCTACATTGAGTTAGAGTACATAAATGCAAAATACATACAGACAAACAATCAACAAGCAGATATATTAACTAAAGCACTACATGTACCACAAGTCAAAC